TTTTTTTTTTTTTTATCTCTTTTGAGATACAGACCTAGTAGTGGTATTGCTAGCTCATATGCATGGTTTTATAGCCTTTTGGGCATAGTTCCAAAACAGAATGGTTGAATTAGTTCACAACTCCTCCAAGAGTGCACTAATGTCTCATTTTTTCCCACATTCCCCCCAACATTTGTCATTTGCCTTTTCTGTCCTATTTGAAAATCTAATAGGTATGAGGTAGTTCCTCAGAATTGTTTTAATCTTCATTTCTCTAATTATTAGTGAGTTAGGATATTTTTTTCGTATGGCTGGAGATAGATATGATTACTTCATCTGAAAACTGATAATATCTTTTGATAATTTATCAATTGGGGAATGGCTGTCATTTTTATAAATTTGACTTAGTTCTCTATGTTTGAAAAATCAGGCCTTTGTCATAGAAACTTGCTTCAAATTTTTTTTTCACAGTTACTATACCTGTCTCTCCCCCCTATTTGTTTTATTCTCTCTCTCTTTTGACCCTGTCTCTCCTCAAAAGTGTTTTGCTTCTGACTACCCCCTCCCCTAATCTGCCCTCCCTTCTATTAACCTCCCTTTTCTTATCCTCTCTCCCCCTACTTTCCTATAGGGTAAGACAAATTTCTATATCCACTTGAGTGTGTGTTATTCCCTCTTTGAGCCAATTCTGATGAGAGTAAGGTTCACTCACTTCCTCCTACCCCTTCCTCTCCGTAGTCAAAGCTTTTTCTTACTTCTTTTATGTGAGATAATTTACCCCATTATACCTCTCTCCCTTTCTCTTTCTCCCAGTACATTCCTCTCTCACCCTTAGTTTTATTTTTTAAATATCATTCCTTCATATTCAAATCACACCTGTGCCCTGTCTATAGATACTCTGTAACTACCCTAATAATGAGAAAGATCTTATGAGTTACAAATATCATCTTTTCATGTAGGAATGTAAACAGTTTAACAAGTCCCTTATGATTTCTCTTTCCTATTTACCTTTTTATGCTTCTTTTGAGTCTTTTGTTTGAAGTCAAATTTTCTATGCAGCTCTGGTCTTTTCTCAGGAGTGCTTGAAATTCCTCTATCTCACTGAATGTCACTTTTTTCACCTCTTGGATTATACTTAGTTTTGCTGAGTAGGTGATTCTTGGTTGTAATCCTAGCTCTTTTACCTTATGAAATATCATATTCTAAGCCCTCTCATCCTTTAATGTAGAAGCTGCTAAATCCTGTATTATCCTGATTGTAGCTCCATGATACTTGAATTGTTTCTTTCTGGCTGCTTGCAATACCTTCTTATTGACTTGGGAACTCTGGAATTTGGCTATCATATTCCTGGGAGCTTTCCTTTTGGGATTTCTTTCAGGAAGTGATTGATAGATTCTTTCAATTTCTCTTTTACCCTTTGGTTCTAGAATATCAGGGCAGTTTTCCATGATAATTTTTTGAAAGATGATGTTTAGGCTTTTTTTGATCATGGCTTTTAAAGGCAGGCCAGTAATTTTTAAATGATCTCTTGTGGATCTATTTTCTAGGTCAGTTGTTTCTCCAGTGAGATATTTCACATTGTCTTCTGTTTTCTCATGCTTTTGGTTTTATTTTATTGTTTCTTGATTTCTCATAAAGTCATTAGCTTCCATTTGCTCCATTCCAATTTTTTTTATTAACTTTTTTTTTTGGCTAGCAATGAGGTTAAGTGACTTCCCCAGGGTCACACAGCTAGTAAGTGTTATGTGTCTGAGGCCAGATTTGAACTCAGCTCCTCCTGACTCCAGGGCCGGTGCTCTATCCACTGTGCCACCTAGCTGCCCCTCCATTCCAATTTTTAAGGAATTATTTTCTTCATTGAGCTTTTGAACCTCCTTTTGCATTTGGCCAATTCTGCTTTTTAAGGCATTCCTCTCCTTATTGGCTTTTTGGACCTCTTTTACCATTTGGCTTAGTCTATCTTTTAAGGTGTTATTTTCTTCAGTATTTTTTTGGGTCTCCTTTACCAAGTTGTTGACTTGTTTTTCATGATTTTATTACATCAGTCTCATTTCTCTTCCCAGTTTTTCCTCTGCTTCCTGATTTTCAAGATTTTGAAAATCCTTTTTGAGCTCTTCCATGGCCTGAGGTCAATTCATATTTTTCTTGGAGGCTTTGTATGTAGGAGCTTTGACTTTGTTGTTTTCTTCTGAGTATGTGTTTCGATCTTCCTTGTCACCATAGTAATTTTCTATAGTCAGAGTTGGTGTTTTTTTCCCCATTGTTTGCTCATTTTCCCAGCCTGTTACTTGAATTTTTAAATCTTTGTTAAGGTAGGGCTCTGCTCACGGGATGGAGGGCAAAAGGGATTTTGTGCAGCTGTTTCAAAGATACTTCCAGGGACCTGTAAGCTTTCAGTTCTTCCAAGGTGGTACAATGTAAGGCCTCTCCTGGCCTGTGCTCTGGTCTGCCCTGGAACTGTGAGGAGAGTCCCCCCCCCTCCACTGTGGCCATAAGCTCTGCTGTGCTAGTGCTCCTCCTCGCTCTGGGACTGCCACCCAGGACTGTGACCCAGATCCAAGTATGAGCAGAGCAAGAGAGTCCTGCCGTAGTGCTAGCAAAAAGACCTCTGAAATTTCCTATCCGGTTGTTAGACCCCCTTACAGTCTGTGGACTGGGAACAGCTGCTGCTACTACCGCAGCTGCCTGCAGTGGCTCCCAAGGCCTGCTTCTGGTTTGCTGGGGCCAGGGCCATGCCGACACAGCCTGTGCTGAATCGCTCTCCATTCTCACCCAGGTGAGACAAACCTTTCCTGCTGACCTTCTGCGTTGTCTTTGGTGTCTTTGGGCTGAGAAATATGGAAACTGCCACTGCTGCCAGTGATTCAATCGCCCCAAAGCCTACCCCAGGTTTTCTGGGGCCCAGTCTGTGCTGGCTTGGCCTGCACTGGACTGCCCTCCTCTCTCACCATGGTGCAACAGACCTTTCCTGCCAACCTTCCAAGTTGTCTTGGGCTGAAAATTTGTTTCAGTCCATGTTTTTTGTGGGTTTTACTGCTTCAGAATTTGTTTAGAGTCATTTTTAAAGGTATTTAGAAGGGTTTAGGGGAGAGCTCAGGTGAGTCCCTGCTTCTACTCTGCCATCTTGGCTCTGTCTCAAAAAGTCTTAATGAAGTCTTAGTCTGTATTACTCATTTTATGTGTTACCTTCCCCCATTAGAATGTAAGCTCCTTAAGGCAGGGACTCTCTTTCTGCTTATTTGTGTTCTCAGCCCTTACCACAGTTCCTGGCATGTGATAATCACTTAATAAATGTCTTTTGACTTCACTTAGTAATCATTTGATTATAGAACCAATTCTCATTTTATTTTAAATACATATATTTCTAATGATGACTGGATAAAGAATCTATTTGCCATGAAAATTTTGGTATTATTCTATCTGAACAAGAATGGTTAGTAGACTTGGTTTGATAAATTGAAATAAGCATTTGAACCAGAAAATCTTAACTGTGGGCTATGGGCAAATATAGAATTTTACAATTTATCAAAGTGGTAGAAATTGTACTGCTGTTCAGATATCTTAATTATGTAAACCTGAGTTTTCTGCTGTAACTTTTATAATGAGAAAGTATTGCTTTTATCAAAGAAAAATATTGATACTTTACACTACATTTTTAGGCTCAAGTCTGCCAGAAACAATTTTCTTATTTAACCTTAATCTAACATCCAAGCATTTGTAGCTTGGAGAGAGAGATGTCCAAACTGGCATAGTACCTGATGCCCACCGACATGACTCTCTGCCCCAAGATGATTTCAGCTAACATTCCTATAAATGTTCAATAAGGAGAAGGTCACAATATATAAAATACAGTTTTGTATTAATATTCCAGAATAGTCAGTAACCATCCAGTTCTCTCCTGGGCCACTTCCCTTACTCTTGGAGTCAACAAAGAGATCTCTTCTCTGTGATAGTTCTCAATATCCTCAATAGATACTAATGTCTTTATGAAGAAGGGTGGAATCACTTCAGGTGGGTGAGGAGGCACTGAAAAGAGTAATTTTTTTTAAAAGGTAGGGTACCATCCTTAATTGTCTAGAAAAAAAGGCTTTTTGCATTTGATTTATCATCTTTCCAAAGGGCTTGCTTTTCCAAGGATTTTGGAAAGGTCTTTTTAGAGCAGAGAAACTAAAAAGGTGATTTTTAATACACTGTCACACTTTAAAAGCAATATCACAAACATACTACATTTTGAGAAAATTTGAGTAAAAAACTTAGTATTTTACAAATTGCATTTTAACAATGTGACAATTCTAAAAGATATTACAAATAGATTAAAGATGTATTGTGTTGCAAAATTAAATGAATTCTTAATTTTATTCTAATCAAATTCAAGCCAATAAATTTGTGTAAATTATTTAATAAAAAGTACAAATAGAATATGACAGTTTTTTCATTAACAAAAAACAAAACCAGGGCTCCACTACAGTTTCTTTAAGGATAGGAGTGAAAAAATGTTCACTTTAAAATGTTCAGAGTAATTTTTTTTTAGTTTGGATCATTTGCAAATTATATAAATTTTTGTGTTATTGCCTACAATTAATTAGACTTGTAGTTGTGGAAAAATTCTGTGAGACACCATTGTTGGATTATTCTGGTAAAATACTTTATAAGACTTTTTTTCAGCAGGAGAGTAAGTGGAAAATTGAAACTTCAATTTAATTCTCCTTTGTAATCTTAAATTTCATAGAATACTGGTAAAAATCACATTTTCCAAAGGAAATACTGACACACTCTTAATTTTGGTATTAAAATTTGTGTATTTTCCTGACAGAGACAACTGCTTAAACAAAATGAGATTTAACTGTATTATGTAACAAAATAACAGGAATCTATTTTTCTCATCTGTAGTGCTGCAAACTCCTGCCCATCTAGTCCCCGGGGGGCAGGCTCTTCAGGGTACAAAATGGGTCGTGTACTACCCACTGACCTACATTTAATGGCTGATAATTCACAGTCAGAAAATGACAAGGAAGCTTCAGGTGGAGATAGCCCAAAGGTAAGTGTTAGTATCAGAATCAGAGGTAGCTATAAAAGATAACTTTTCTTTACATATCATAGTAGGTGACTAGGTGGTACAGTGGATAGAGTGCTAGACTCACAACCAGGAAGACCTAAATTCAAATGTGGCCTCAGACTCTTATTAGCTATATGGGCAAGTTTGCCTAGCCTTTCTCAGCCTCAGTGTCCTGTTCTATAAAATAGTGGTAGTAGGAACACGTACTGCACAGAGTTGTTATGAAAAATCAAATGAGATAACATGTAAACTGCTTTGCAAACTGCTTTGCAAACTTGAACGTCTTACATAAAAGCTAGCTATTATTATGGCTATTTTGAACTGATATTTTACTTATAAGTGGTCTTTTAGAACTGGATAGTATTTTCTTTTTTTGTCTCATATATTCCTCTGTGTGCGTGCATGTTATTCATGTACACAAACACACAACTTTCTGAGTTGATTGAGCCATTAGGTTGGTGTTATTGAGCATGTCTTATCTTACTCATTTTTTTCCTTAAATTTAATTGAAAATTTCTCCATTTGGTTTTTAAGACACACACACACACACACACACACACCTTTGAGACTCATTGATGGGAATACTATATTGTTGAACAGTAAAAAACATGTATGTTATTATTCTGTGTTCAGTCTTTAAAGTTAGTTGTTATTGTCGTTTTTAAATACCAGGATGATTCGAAGCCTCCTTATTCCTATGCACAATTAATAGTACAAGCAATTACAATGGCTCCTGATAAGCAGCTTACACTAAATGGAATTTATACCCACATAACTAAAAACTATCCATACTACAGGACAGCAGATAAAGGCTGGCAGGTAAATTTGACTTTGTTTACTTATTTTGTTAATTTGTTACTTTGTTAATAGAACAAAAAGTTAGTATGTTGTAAATAATGTAAAAATTAGGCTGCCTTTGTCTGGAATTCATAAACAGCTTTTTGTTGTTGATTTCTTTTTAAAACTGGATTAGATGAGATATGATTCCTTGGGTATTAATAGTAATTGATAGTAATACCAGAGACAACATACTCTCTTAGCTCCACTTTTATCTCTGCAGGAAAAGGTGAAACTTGAACATCACCACCATTTTAATGTTCCGTCATCTTATATAATAAACTCAACATCTTTTACTGTATTCCAATATGTATGTTTCTAAGATTGTCTTAATGTCTGCATGCTGAGAACAGATTTCATTCTTATTATTAAGTCACTTTGTATAGGTTTAGTTGTCATTGTTGTCATTTTTATTCCTTGACATTTGTTGGGGTGTAACTTATTTCTCTGTGGTATACATTGAAAATCTCACTAATTCAGATTAATAGGGATGGACAAGTCTAAAATAGAGAATATTTTCAAATAAATGTGGATCTGTTATTAAATGCCTAATGAAATGCCTTAGGAACCATGATTTATTGAGTCAGGGAATAATGGTATGTACTGAGTTATTTGGTAACACTTCATTTAATTCAGAAAATAGATATTCTGGCTAACTGAATTTCACTGTTAAATAAGAGTTAAAATAAATGTGTGGTTATAATTGTAAAAACAAAGGATGATAAACTATCTTTGGCAGTCTCCTAAAACCCCACAAGATGGGAATGGTATCTCTGGAAAATCATCTTTTCAATTCTCATTTTGCCACCTCTAGTTATGGGCATACAGGTACACTTTTGCATATACAGGTACACTTTTGCAGTGTAGGAACCTAGCATTTTTTTCTGATGAAAATAAGTATCATAAATAAATAAATGTTGTCATAAATATCCTATAGTGGAACTTTTAACATTTTCTGTGAGAGATTTAGGTAGTGCTCATCCTTTTTGAATCATAATTTTTGAGGATTTTTTGTGGGCATCAATACATCTATGCTTTAGGAAGTTCTGACAAGCTATAGAATTTCAAGCTTTATGGCTCTTGACTGGTTGTCTTCAAAGTAACTTCTCAAGCTTTGTTATATTAATGTTACAGACAAGTTTTTGAATTTATGAAATTGCCAGTCTTTGGGTCTTGGTGTCTTTGGGGGGAAATGATAACTAATTTGAATGTCAGTTTGAGACTTAATATAAAAATGGGTCCATATGAAGTGGTTGAAAAACTTAATTAGGTTAAGGGATGGAAGGCTAGCCCTATGGAGATAGATCAACACCTTCTAGAAATTAATTGCTTCTACTTTAGGTAGTTATCACTAGGATTAGCTTAGCCCAGTGGGTATGATAGGATTTCTTCAGGTGTAAGCAATAGCAATCTTATAAAATCCATCAATTTGTGAAGTGAATGTTCTATAGATTAACTTCCATGCTCTTGTTTTATTTTGCTTTGTTTTATGAGTAGGAGTTTTTTGTTTGTTTTTGTTTTTATTCTTTTGGCCCAAATTTGTGCTTTAATTGATGGAGGAAACTCCATTCTTGCTGAACAGCAACTCTTAGTTTATAATTATCTAGAGTTTCCTGAGGCACTGACAGGTAAATACCTTATCTGTGGTCACACTGCTACTATCAGAATCAGGACTTCTTCTGTGCCATATTGCCTCTCTCTTATAAGCAATGTAATACCCCAGCTAAAACAGAGGTTAAAAGAATTAAAAACATCTAAGTACAAAATAAACAAAATTGGCACTGATGTATGTTTTAAAGTTTGCAAAGTATTTTACTTATTTTATATCATTTGACCCTCAAAACAACCCTGTGAGGTAGGTCTTATTATTATTAAGTATATTATTATACTCATTTTATAGATGAGGGAACTCAATAGTTTCCATTGGTTACAAACCTAGTAAATATCCTCAGTAGAATTTGAAGTTTTTTCCTGACTCCACTACACTAGTCTACCTCTCTAAAATAAGTACGCTAATGGGTAGGGATAGGTACTAGATTTGTAATTTCTCTGGGATAGGAAACTCTAGATGAGGAAATTCCCTCTACTGATGCAGATCAGAGACTTGTCTGCAATTAGAGAGTTGCCTGGTATACTAGTTAAGTGAACTTGCTCATAGTCATACAGTTAGTATGTGTCATAAATCTACCACTTAAATCTCCATCTTTCCTGACTCCAAGGCTAGCTCACTATGCCATATTGCCTCTACATTTGTTTTCACATGCCCAGATATTTTTCTCGTATTTATGGTGCTGCCTTTATAATTTTTTCATACCTCATGGTTCTCTTTGTTTTATGTTAAAGTCACCTTAATATTCAGAAGAACATCATACTGATGTTCTTTTTGGAGGACTCTATTATTATAAATAATAGTTTTTAGGGTTGTTTTCTTTCTTGCTATTTGCTCCCACTTCCCTTAGCTCTATCTCTTAAGATATACTGTTACAACCATGCTTGTTGGACTTTTGTTTTTCATAAAATATGACAAAGTAGGTGAGCCTTAGGGCCTTTTCTTTGGAGTAAGGTGGATTTTAAAGCTTCAGTTTCTGGACTTTGATAATTTCACAGAGGATTTTTTTTTTTTTTTTTTTTTTTACTTCTGGGTTCATGATGTCTTCTGAAAGGTTGAGTTAACTGGGACCTTGACCTATTGAAAAAATAAATGGTCATTACTTCATAGGCAGCTCATGATTTAGATTCTTTCCATACATAAAATATTTGCCCCATGCCTGCGGACTCCTCCCTCTGAGATGATTGAGGAGTTAATTTTTATCAAATTTGGCACAGCACTAAAGCTTGAGGTCTCTCATGCTTGCCCAATCCCCCTCCCCATCATATTGCTTAGCTTTCTTCAAAGCACAGTTTAGGGGCCTTAACTTCTTAATTGTCTTCCCCTCACCATCTCTCCTAGCTTAAAATTACATTATATTTATGCTATATATATTTTGTATGTAATTATCTATTTACATGATATATCCTTCAGCACTGTAAACTCTTTAAGGGCAGAAATGGTTGGGTTTTTTGTCTTCATATCCCTAGTAAATGATAGGTAGCTAGGACACAGTCAATAGAGAGAGCTGACCTAACAGCCTTTACACATAATATGTGATGCTGTGCAAGTCATTTGTCCTTTCAGTTGCTCTGTGTCAGAGGTTTCAAACCTGTAGCTGGCAAAATTCTGTGCACACCTGAACCAGATTAAAATGTAATTGGGAAATGTTAAACAAAATAAATAAAAATACAATAAAACACAGATAATGTTAATTTGTGGTTTCCTAAGTCAGTATGCAGTTGGCAGAGATTCCTTTAAATTTGAGTGACACCACTGCTCAATGTTACTTTCTGAAACTATGTTATAGAGAAGATACCAACCTGCATTGGTAGAGGGATTTTCCTCTCCTAGGAATTCCTTATATTAATGAAATCACAGGTCCAGGTACTCTCCTATACACTATGCTTAGCAGAGTTATTTAGCACAGTACATAGTGGTGCTCAATAAATGATTGTTGAAGAAGTCAATACTTTATTTCTTTATAAGCACAAACTGTTTTTAATTTGTCTTCACTGCAACCATCTGAGATCTACTGGCCAGATTTCAGAACTTTTTGTTTGGGTTTTTTTGTTTTGTTTTGTTTTGTTTTGTTTTGAAGGCAATCAGGCTTAAGTGATTTGCCCAGGGTCACACAACTAGTAAGTGAGAGGGATCTGAACTCAGGTCCTCTTGACTCCAGGGCTGGTGCATTATCCACTGTGCCACCTCACTGCCCCACAGAAGTTTTTAAAGATTCACAGACTCCTCATTTCTTCAGCTCACGTTAAAAGTTTAGAACATAGCTCTCACTTACATAGATATCAGTTTACTGAGACAACACATAGGCCAAGAGTTATGCTTTATCACTTTCATTAAATATACAGCATAAAACTTCTAATTGAAAATTGATGGTCTGACTTCATTGAAAAGCTTAACAATTTCCAGATAATCTTTTAGCATAGAAGACATATTTCATTTTCTTTGCAGCATTTTTTTTAACCACAATGCATTTTACATTACATTACATTTTACATTGCATTAGTCTTGTAATCATGCCATATCTTATCCTCTATCCAATATATTAATAATTCACCACTATGGAAAACCATCAACTGGTGAAATCCAAATTTCACCTTCTCATGAGGATAGCATGTAACACATTTGTAACTTGTTCCTAACTCATTCAAAATACTTTTTTGATTTCTAATCTTTTATGAGGAACAAAATTATAAAGGTTATTCAAATGTTTTCATAAATTTCTACTATCATGAATAATACTGTGCTAGGTTTTATGGAGGATACGAAGAAATATTGAAAATAGAATAATAACATTAACATAATACACACACTGCAAATGTAAAACGAGGGGGATGGACTAGATAACTTCTTTGGTCCAAAAGCTCTACATCTGTAATTTATAAAATAATTGAAAAATAAAATGAATATTCCAGGTAAGTATCACTGGTCTGGAGAGGTCAAGAAAGAACTCTTACAGGAAGTGAGGCTTGAGTTGGACCTTCAAAGATAAGTCTCATAGAATAAGAGATATAGAAATTATTTTAATGGGAGCATGTTAATTTGTTTAGTGTTATAAATCACTTCTTTATAGGTAGTTTAAAGATTATTTTTATTCAGTGCAGTTTTATTGTCCAGAAGTAATAGAAAATTATTAATCTTGCGTGTGACTTGTGTGTAATGGGTTTGCCATTACATAACTTAGAAAATATAATCATTCTCAGTTTGTTGTCTTGATATTTGTCATTTGTGTTACTTTTTTCTGAGTCTCATAGGCTGAAATATATCTGTGTAACAATTTGGCCTTATTTTGCCTGGGACGTGTAGGCGACTAGAATTTGAGGTAGAGAAGGAAATTACAGCCCAGAGTAAAAATGTAAATTTAGTTGCATTGATTTTCAGAACTGAAAACAGCACCTACCCTGGTTTCAAGAACTAGTTTCACTTCTTCCTATAAATGATGTGAATAATGATGAAAGTATAAGTGACATTTAAAGCTTAACTATGGTGAATATTTTATGTCTACTTCTAGATTTTAGTTGTGATAAATTTTCTTTTTTTCCTTTTAACGATATTTAAGTTGTTTTACTTCACATTAGTTATCGCAATGTGTACCTTAGTTATGTGGTCAATATTTCTGTGCATTGTTTAATATCATTTTGGAGTGTGGCCTATTGGTGTGAATATAGAGCAAGAATTACTCCTGAGTCTGTGCTCTAACACTGACATGAGGTAAAGTGTTTTTAAAATGGAGCTAAAAATAAGACAGTCAGATAATATGGTTAGATTAAGCAGTTAACAGTTATGTGCTGAATATTATCAGATTTTGCTTCTTTTATCTTCTAAATCTGTTAGATTCTACTTTCTGTTCCAAGATCTTGGAGACTTAAATAACAGTTGATATAAGTTTATCTTTGATTGCAGTCTATGTCAGGGTAAACAAAGCAGAGTTTATTAAAAGTACTAAGATAATCAGTATATGATAACCAAATATGTTATAACATATGGCCTACTTATTTAGATTAATCTTTGGTGTGACAAAATTTTAACCTAAGCCTCCTGTAACAGTCTACAATTTAGGTCTCAAGGCCTCTGTGTTCAGGGGATTATTGAATAAATGCATAACATCACAAATGGGTCTGTGATTCTGGAAATATTCCTAAAATATAATTAGGAAATTTGAGAAAGGGCTTTGGAGAGTTGTAGGAATTTTCTTAATAGTTATTAATTACTTTGGCAGAACATAGTATTAGACTAACTTCTTAAATTTAAATATTGGCTTCAATTCATGATATCTATTCTAGTTTAGCCTAATTGTCAAACATATAACAAAGCCTACTTTTGGTAGATTTCAGCTAAATTCCCTGAAACATTCAGAAACATTTCATGTTTCGGTGGGAAGGGTTATCTTGCTTAGATAACAGTAAATAAATATTCTGTTAACTGCCAACTTAGGACTGGTGTACTAAAACAAAAAATGGATTAGGTTAGGAATCAGGAGATAATGATGCACAACCTAATTCACAGGATTGTTGTGAGGATCAAATAAAATAACATGGGAAAAGGGCTTTGAAAAGCATGATTAATAATCGTGATTGAACTTAATTCCTTCTTGGCTATTTTGCCAAAATTTTCGTACATTTCCATTGCCCAAGGCAGCTAAAACTTAGAAAAATTGTTTGTTTTTTAAAAATTGACTTACATCAGCTTTGTTTGTCTCCAATCAGGGAAAGGTTAATGTAAAGTCACCAAAAATAATCTAATACATGACTGCTACGAAATCATACTCCTGTTTTCCATCTTAAGTAATTATTAATGGAAAGCTTTCCATTTGGAAATTGTATAAATGTATCCATGCTTTGTACACAGACTCCTGCTGTCATTCCTTCATTTTATTCTCTATACTATATTCTTTCCTCCTTTGAGCCTTTTGTTGTGGCCACTACGTTCCTGGCTCAAGGTAGTTAAACTAGTTCACCAAGTGAAGCAGCTGAGCAATAGAAGCTACTTCACAAGTCTTCTAAAGCTGTTTCCAAAGCTCTTTCTTCCCTGATATCCAAGGAGCTAGAACCTTAGCCTCTGCATTTCCAGGCACTACTATTAGGCCACATTTTAACTTCTTAGTAAAGAAATATATGAATTCTACGTATTTTTTTATGTTCCATAGAATTCAATTCGCCACAATCTCTCTCTGAATCGTTATTTCATCAAAGTACCACGTTCCCAGGAAGAACCAGGCAAAGGCTCATTCTGGAGGATAGACCCTGCCTCTGAAAGCAAATTAATAGAGCAGGCTTTTAGGAAAAGAAGGCCTAGGGGAGTACCTTGCTTTAGAACCCCTCTGGGACCGCTCTCTTCTAGGTAAGGACAAAAAGATGAACAAAAAGACCTCACTTAATTGTCAGTAATTACCTTCAATGTAATTAAATTTCCTTTTGGATATAAAGGAAACACCAAATGCATTTATGACTAAATGTTGGGAAGGGGATACAAAAAGAAAATGGGTAAAAATATTAGATGGATATGATGTCTCTAGTGGCCTGTCTCTAGTGGCATGGTCAGTCTTTATCTTAAGTTTTAGTTTCAATTAAAATTACAAGTAATGATTAACACACTTCATTGAATTTGTTTTTCATTTCATATTGTTAGTCTTTATTAGTAAGCTGCAAATTTCACCAACAGAGTAATTAAAATTGTTAGGCTACAAAAGCATCTTTTAAGCTAATCCTTAAACTTTCTACACATGGTTGATTCATAAAGTTTTATTTTGACTGTCTTAATTAATTGAAATGTATACATTTTTTACTTCATTGATACATGCTTTGTTTTCTAAAATGGAAGAAAATGACCAATATTTAAATCTTAAGGCCCCTCTGTACTGTACTGGCCACCTATTGTCTTACTGTATTAGTTAGAGCTGCTCATAATGATTCTTTCTTTTTAGAGCAAGCAGCTAATACTGTTCCATGGACCACTTGGCCTGCACTGAGTATGGAGGAGAAATGCCACCCGACATCAAAATGGTCTCTTTTGTAGACTTTATCCAGTCTCCTTCTGAATCTACATCTAAGTTAACAAAGGTTTCATAGAAAATAAGAATTATTAGAACGTTTTAGTCGGTTGGCAGAAGACAAATGATGCCCCTTCTGCAAAGTACACATATTGCAAGTTAAAAGACAAGGCAGCTCTTGAGCACTTTAAGTTACTTTAAGTTACTAGATGCTTCTTTCTTTTATTCTTTTTTTTGTTTTGTTTTGTTTTGTTTTGTTTTTTGGAAATACAGAAGTGCTCCAGCTTCTCCTAATCATTCTGGAGTGTTGTCTGCTCACTCCAGTGGAGTACAAACTCCTGAGAGTTTGTCAAGGGAAGGTTCTCCAGTACCTATGGATCCCGAGCCTAGTGCAATACAGCCTAAACTAGCAGTAATACAGGAAGCTCGGTTTGCCCAGAGTGCACCAGGTGAGAAATATGAAAGAAATGTATCAAGTATTATTGGAGGAATACATGGTAGATCATGTTCAGATGATCTATCCCTCATCTGATAGACACATTTTGTGGGTATCATCAAACAAAGAATACATTTCTAAGCCCTAAAATCATACCAAGAAGTTATAAGCTTAATAAACCTAATTCTTGATGATTAATACCTAGATATGATTTCATAGGCCTTTTTAATACCATCAGTGTTTGTTACAAGTATGATAGCCATGCTTCTCAATCCATGGGGCTATGAACTGATAATATATTTGTCTCTTTCCTGCTGTGACACTTAATTATCTCACAATTATGCAACCAAGTAGGGACAAAAAAAATTTTTGCAAGGAATCTCAAAAATCTCTCATAACTTGGGAGAAACAAAGCATTTCAGAAGTACTCAAGGCATTTACCAAACTGTTCTAAACCATAGGATCACATATGGTGCTCTAAAGTCTCCAAAAGTATCCAAGCTATGTGATTGTTCAAAAGTCTGGAGGAAGGTATTGTTGAGCATCACAGTGGCCAAAAGTTTAGAAAAACTGTGGCTAATTATATATCTGAATTACCATCTTTTATTTATTCAACCTCATTTTCTTCAGAGAATTCTAAATTAGTTTCCTATTAATGTTTCAAACATGGATTTTTGAGAAATCAATATTTCTAATCAAGTTGCTCTATAAAATAAAATATTATAATAGTGATACTGATTTGTAATTTTTTTTTGTTATGTCACAACTGCTAAAATTGGCATTTAACCAGGAGAGTTTCTACCTCCCTCCTTTAATGGTTTAAATCAACGTGCTGGGGTTTTTTTTGTGGGTTATTAGTAAAAATTAAATTTTAAAAAATTAAATAAGTAAAAATTTTTAAAAATTAAATTAGTAAAAATTAAAACAAAATTGGCACAGATTCTACAACCATGTTGCTACATTTCCCTGTTAATTCTGTTTTGCTTGCAGTTGCAAGGGATTATTCACCTGAATTCAGTGTGGCTCTCAATTCTGTCCTAAATTTGCAGGTATCTAGTGTATTATTCACTTTCCCTTTATCATGGAAAAAGAAAACTAGGAGTGTAGATGCTGTGAAGACTGAGGTGCAGATGGAGATGGAGAACAAGATCAGTATTTTAGTACTTATAGAAATTAAGTTTTTCTGTCACTTGCGTTTGTTACAGCTAGTAACTGCAACTATTGCAAATTAATAGGAATCAAGGTGCTTTCTTTTTTTTTAATTAAAAATTATTTGTTTTAAAGCATGTTTTAGATGAAGAGAAACATACTTAATAAAAATGGAATTGTAAATATATTATTAATGTATTTGATCTTAACAGGTTCACCTTTGTCTAGCCAGCCAGTTTTAATTACTGTACAACGGCAGCTACCACAAACTATTAAACCAGTCACCTACACTGTTGCAACACCTGTGACCACCTCAACATCCCAGCAACCTGTGGTGCAGACGGTTCATGTTGTTCATCAGATACCAGCTGTATCAGTCACAAATGTGACTGGATTAGCTCCAGCAAACACTTATACTGTAGCTGGACAAGCAGTGGTCACACAAGCTGCAGTGGTTACCCAGTCCAAGATAGAACCTCAAGAAAATGGAGACCACAGAGAAGTAAAAGGTAAGTAATAAAGAAGTAATATTTAGAAAGCTTTTCAACTTTTGGGGAATGAAAGTAATGGGGAGTTTTGCTAAAGCCAGACATGTTATAATTTCTGTTTTCTCTTAAATATAACCTAGTTTTAAAGTAATTCTATATCATCTAATGCATGTGCTTACTTGAAAGTTGTGATTTTTTTGAGCTTTCAGTTAATGTTGATTGTTTTCTTTCAGTTAAAGTAGAACCTATTCCTGCTATTAGCCACACTACAATAGGAGCTGCTAGTCGGATCATTCAAACATCGCAGACCACCCCCTTACAGACAGTTACCATAGTGCAACAGGCACCTCTAGGTCAACACCAGCTACCAATAAAAACTGTAACACAAAATGGGACACATGTAGTACCAGTCACCACTGCAATCCAGGGACAGGTCAGCACTGGTAAGAAATCACCAAGAAATGTTTAATTCAGCTGTAAATATGGGGGGAGGGGAGGGTAGATAATATACAAGAACAAAAATATTGAGGAAAATTGCTTCCTGGAATTCATGAATTGTGGATCTCAATTCTTGTACTTAAATTGTTCTTCTTAGAAAATATTCACATTTTAAGAGGGTCATTGTGATTTGACCTTACTGTGGTTTTGTTTCTTGTGTAATTATCTCATATGAGAAGTTCTAACACTTTGTGATTACCAAAAATACATACCCATTTTTGTAAACATGGGTGTGTTCCAGGACCAAACCATAGTTTTCAAGACAAGATATAATGTCTGAAACATCTCTATACTTTCCCTTCCTAATTTGGTTTGATCTATAAAGCAGTATTCATGGCAGTAGTATTAAACAGACACTGTAAATTACCCAAAAGATGGCTATATTTGTCTTGTGTGGAGTATTTCCTACAAGTCTTACATATTCCAGATGATCTAGATGTGAAATTTTCTAGACAAAATGCAAAATATATTGTTTGCAGAGTAAATAAGTTTATTTAGTATTATTTTTGAGACCTACTGTGCTTTAGAGGGGATGGGACAAAAAAGAGAAGATAAGCTTATTAGAATACAAAATTAAACATGAAACTACAAACATAAACATGAACCTGATAGTTTGACATATCCAACACTTCTTCAGCCTTCTTTACCTGCTCTATACCACCTTAGTAGCCAACCCTTTTAACTACTGTGTACTGTAACCTCTCTTGATTTGTGGCCTAATCAAGTCAATTTGGGCCTACTTCTTGATCTCCAGCCAGCCCTTTTTACCTCATAGATTACCTAAAAAGGTAGTGTATTTGGTTATTTTAAAAGCCCACTATGGTAGCTGTTTGTGTACTACAAAATTAACAATAACTAGGGAAGTAACATTTAACAACTGAAGGACAAACTTACTCAAGACAGTGATAGACTAAAATGCTAAAGAGGTAGAGAGAGGAGAAACCAAAAGCAGAAGCATCAAACCAGAACTGTAAGAGAAATGAAACCCTGGTGAACTATTGCTCCTCAACAAAGCTTCTTCTTAAGTATCTGATCACCATTCATCCAACAGGTATTTGAATGCTTGCCATGGGCAAGACATTCTTACCAGGTGCTGTTAGTTGTATCCCACCCCCTCACCCCCAAGTTCTGTCCTCACTCCCTCTCCAGGGCCAAATAACCCAACAAATAACTCAGTTTTCCCTTTCCTTAGATACCTTTTCTTGTACTCTAATTCATAAAAGATCATAGATTTAGATATAAATTATGGATATGTAATGAACTCGTCTAGTCCACTCATTTTACAGATGAGGAAACTAAGGCCCAAAGAGGTTAAGTGACTTGCCCAAGGTCACTTAGTCAGAGGCAAGAGCCACAGTTCTTTCCTCCTGATTAATTCTGTGAAAAGTCACACAGATTTGGCCAGGGTCATATATGCTAGTGTATGTCACAGGAAAGACCCTCTGGTCTTTTAGACTCTTCTACAGTATGGCTCTTTTTCCAGTCTGATGTTGCCTTGTGAATACCTCCTACGTTAAAAATGACAAGTCATGACATTAATAAACTATACTATACGAATATCAATAACATATTTTGTTATAACCATTTCATTTGTCTTTTCGACCAGACATATTTTATGATAGGAGGGAACTCGTGGCATAAGAAAGGTACTCCTAATTAGCAGTTTCTCTGCAAATTTTAGTCTTAGCTGCCTAGAAAGATTAAATGACTTACCCAGAATTGAACAGCCAATAAAAGTCAGAGGCAGAACACCAAATGCCAAAGCCACCACTCTGTCCACTATATCATCCTATCTCCTACATTAAAGTGGCATTACATTAACAGCTCTATCTTTAATCTTGCCCAGAGCCAGGTTATCCTGACCACTGCCAGTAGTCAAGCAGAGCAACGTGATAAATGAAACTCTATATGCGTAGAAATTGCAAGTTTTAAATTGTTCTAGGTAGTTTGGAAAATACTTATTCCCTCTATATCGAGAAAGTAATGTCAGTACATGATACTGGTCGCATTTTTTGTTCATTTCTGTGCATTTCCTTATGATAAAATATTCAATCCTATAAACTTACATGTGGAGCTATGAGTTATTTATGAGCTTCTGATAAGAGTTGGCAGTCCTGGAGTCCTACTAGATCACATTACATGATAATTCTATATTATACTTGTAAGCTTTAAATGTGCCACCTAGATCAATTCAAACTGATATTAACCCAACAATTTCCAAGTTAACATCAACTAATAGAATTAATGGTTTGTGATCATATTTATCCTTATGATGGTGTTTATCTGTGTCCCTAGATCTCTGTACATTACTACAAGTAGGTCCTCTCTGGGACAGAGCCACCACCTGAGGAAATGTCTCCTAGTTTCTGATATTTCTTAGTGTTTATGTTAAATATTTTCTTGCCTAATAGCTAATTTTTCTAATTAATTTTACATAAGGGTATTAGAATTTTTTTTATTTCTATGTTTTTTCCTCCCTGAATTCATTTTCCTTTGTTTCATAAGAAATAATTATGCTAAGAAGCAAAATTTCTAGCCACCATGTATCTTAAAGACATTTTTTATCATGGGTTCTTAAAAATAATTAATGAGGAGGGAGGAGCACTAGTGACCTCAATGTAAATTAATTAAAATTAGACATTAAGCAACATTCATCATACCCAAAACCAGATTTCTTATTTTTTCCCCAGTACTGCTTCCTCCTCTGACTTTACTGTTTTTCACACTGGCACCAGTATCTAGTGCCCATATTTAAAATCTTAGTATCTTGGAGTCTTGCTGTCCTTCACCTTTTCTTGTCCACTTAGTCACCAAATCCTATCAATTAAACCTTCTCAATAGGCCTGCAAGACATTACCTATCAATACTCTTCCTTAACAACACTGCCAAACTAATTGATACATTGATACATACATTGATTTGGTCATGTCCAGCCATACTCTCTTTTCTTTCTAAGTAAAATTCAGATTTCTTACTCTACTTTGTATTTAGGCTCTGCACAATTTGGTACCACCATAGCTTTGTAGCCTTGTCTCATCACATTTTTTCCTTCCCTGTTTCACTGTCACTGTTTCAGGCAATCTCTGCCCTCAAACACGTCCAGTTTTTTTTCCTCTTTTCTATTGGACATTTCCAACAGTTTACCCTACTACTTCAAATTATTGTCATTTAATCATCTTCCATCACTTTTGACAACATATATAACATGTATAACTGCCTACCCAACATTTAGACAGTTATCTTTAAGACTCAGGTGGTCTTCACTTTACATATATTTTAATAAATCTTGCCAATGTTTTTAATCATGTCATTACACTAACCAGTCCTTATGCAGAGACACTCTTATTCAGCAGTCACTCCAAAGTAGATTTCTGATGTTGCTAACCTCCATGGGACAATCAAATTTATTTAACGAGTACTAGGCCTTAGTTATCTTATGGTGTCAAATGCTTTTGGCAGGTCTATAAAAATAGTGTAGAGAAGATACTACTTTTTGGTTTATCCCTTATAACTCTGCAAAAGCAAAAACAAATGCAAATTTTAACCTTAATACTTTCTAATGTTATGCCAATAAACTGTAAGACATTTAAGATATATCTAATGATGATCCACTTACTGTGAAATCAGAGGTTCATTCAACAAGCATTTATTGTGCATCTACTATGTTTCAAAACACTGACACAGAAGTGATGGCATTGTTGTTGGAGAAGCAGGACTAACATGAATGAAACAAAGAAAAATCCAAGAAAGTAGGTAATTAATTGTTCTATTATTTGGTCCTACTCCAATTCCTCACTGTGTTATGGAGGTAACCTACAAGGTAGGCAATCTGCCATAGTGGATAGAGCAATGGCCTTAAGGAACACCTACCTGGTTTAAGTTATATCTTTGAGACTGTGTGACATGTCTTTTGTGCCTCTTCTGCAAAATGGAAATTGGATTCATTGGCCTCTCAGATTCCTTCTAGCTCTAAATCTATAGATTCTGATTCCTATCCCTAATTCCTACAAATTCTATCTGCATTATTACTTTATAATTCAGTTGCTTAGTTTGTGGCTGAAATGTGTACATAAAAGCCATCATCCAATTCAGGGTGCCAAAAATTAGGGTTTACCATGTGCCAAGTGAAACACATTCAGTGGTAATGTTGACAGCCATGTTCGTATGGCTTCTGCTAAGTTCCATTGTTCAGTGTGTTAATCTTTTAAGTTAGACTACTGCTGAAAGGCAACATCCTTGCTGCAGAGTATACCTATAGTATGTTTATTTACTGGAGAAAAGACTATGCTTTAAAACTGGAAAGAAAAAAAGTCACTTCTGTGTTTTGTTTTGTTTTTGGAGTGGAATTCTGAATAGATTAATGAATATGAAAACATTTGCAACAGAGCAGGGCTTAAACTTTTTCCACATGTGACCCTTTTAGCCTGAGAAAACTTTACGTGATCACAAGTATAAAGGTATATAAAATAGGTATGCAAATCAAAACATTATTGATAATAAATCATTGGGCAATTTATTTTAAAACAATTCTTTGGAATATATATAATTTTACCATTTATTAAAGATGAAAGCAAATCTGCATACTAATGAGATAGATGTGCTTGTTTATTTTTCCATAAAGAATTAAATCTTGGTGGAATATTTGATACTGCAGGATGTAGAGCATCTTCAAAGTTTTTCAGACTTGATTGATATTTTGATTTTATAATCATCACTGCTGAGAACGCTGCTCTGCGTAAATACATACTACAAAATGGCAGAAGTATGTTTAGGGCCATTTCAGAAACTGTTAGAAATTCCATCCTAATCCCAAGCCAACATACAATTCATAACATATTTATAACGAATCTGAACCAAGGTGTTTCTGGCAGTGTTTGTTAGTGGTGCATGGTGCATGCACAGTGCAAAGTGCGCATCTTATGTGTTTAGAACCAAGGCTGTGGTAAAGTTGTGCGATGCATCATGGGCAAGCGCTGCCAGAAACACCTTGGATTCATTACACATTTGATTTTGAATTAATTTTTGGTCGTGCATTCAGAAACCTTTTACTGTTGCCAAATTTTTTGCACACATTCAATTATGTGACCCCATACGGGGGGGCGGGGGGTCACAACCCACAGTTTAAGAACCAATTCAGTAAAGAATCCCTTGTCAGTTCTGTTGTTTATTTGGGTTCAACTTAAAATACTATATTTCTGTTTTTCAGTGATCTCAGCCTAAATTCTCATACTGGTATATCAAAACAGCAAATAATTTGAAGTAACTTGTGTTTCATAGCTGAGTAAATAGCCTGTTAATTTTTTTAAAGCCAACTAATATACACTGTGTTAATTTAAAAGTCTTTCTTTCTTGTCCTCATATTTTTAATTCTGCTGAATGCTTTATTCCACATGGCCACTGGAATATATGACAGTTTTTCAGCAAGGAGCTTAAAGTCTATTGCCACAACGCAGTGTTAGCTTAGGGAAATTTATACTGTCAGGCTCTGAAATGGAGCAGCACAAACCTGTGTTGGAAAAGCCTGGCACACAGCTTTCTATGAAAATATTTTTTTGGGATAGTGTTTTATATGACCCATACATATTAAGGATCATTTCTGGCCTTTCATTTGAAGTATTCTGTAAGGTAATGACTTTATGGGTACTGGTTTCTCTAGCTGGGCAAGTGATAAAAAGAATCAATTATTTAGGGACATGTGATTATTCTAACTCCTTAATCTCTCTGCAGCTGCTGCAAGTCCTTTACATATATTGGCAACCCATGCGTCAGCATCAGCATCACTGCCAACCAAACGTCAGAATGGTGACCAGTCAGAGCAGCCAGAACTGAAACGTATCAAAACAGAAGATGGGGAAAGCATAGTCATCGCTGTGAATGTGGACACACAATCTTCAGCAGTGAGGGAAAAAAGCATCCAAAACTAAAAACTTTGATTTCTTTTCATATTTTAAAAAAAAGTTTTTTAATCAACTCTGTGGTGCCAAAAGGAGACATTTAACTTAATACCTAAAATGTTGGAACACGTTCTCACCCAGTGGGTTATATGGGCCCTGTGATCAGACTGCAATGTTCAGCACTGAAAAACAAAAATGAAAACACAGGTGGCCTTATAACTCAGTAATTTAAAAACAAAATTTGAACTAAAAAACACAAACATCTTGTTCTAAAGGCTGTGACATCCCCTCCCTACTGAACGATCTTGTTGCTGCAGAGTTGGGGAGAGCTGCAGCTTTTAAACTTAAATAATAAAAAACAAAAACACTTGATTATTTTAAGGACTGAGTATCTCAGTGTAACAACAGCATGATAAGCGCTTAGTGTAAACTGTTTCAAATGATTGTATATTCCTTAAAGGGAACAGAGGCACGGAGCCATTTCCTCCATCTTGGCAGCTAGCCTTTCATAATGATCTAGCCAGTGCAGTTGTTGATAGATATGCAGTATTTTGTTGTTCACATGTGGAATTTTTGAAGTGTACTTTCATTTCTTTGAAAAATAATGGGGTCTTTTGACATTTCAAATCACTCCATTTAAACTATGGAAACTTTGGAATCACAATACTTTTCATGTGCAATTTAGTTTGGTTATAAACACATGCAACACAAAAAAAAGATTTTTTTTTTAATTGATGGAATGATTTCCTTCTATCTGTCCTGTTAATGTTCAGATGAAGCTACTTTATTACATCTGCAAATTTTTTTTTATATTTTAGCAGTTGCCTGATAAATTTAATCCAATTTTATCAAAATGTGTAGTGATCAAATGCTTCTTTGGGCTTGCATGTAACAGATTAGAAATTCCAGTGTAAGTGAGCCATTAACTGATGTAAAGAACTGCTATGATTTTGACCAGAGCTGCACTTAACCATTTTTCTTTTTTGCTACCTTTGGCTGTTTGTCACTTTGTGTTGACTTTGATTGTCCCTGGCATATTTTTTCCAGTCTAAGTAAAACAAGTCTCACTTAGTATCTGTGTATGTTTAAAATGACAGAACTATTCTGCTTCATTTAGAAAAAAATATACAATCTTTTATCACAGGTATCTTAAAAGAAAAGATCATGTCAGAGAAAAATATTCAATATTTTTAAGCTTAAATATTCAGCATTAGGAGGAATTAATCTGACCAGTATGTCAACAAAACTGTTAATATTTTAATTGTCCTTAATTACCAAATGTCCTATGCCCTCCTATTTGGTATCTCCATTAAAGTAGCTGCTATGGTTTTTGAGCAGATGCTACATTATAATAAAAGGATTCCTTTCACATACATATATATATATATATACACACACATATATATATACATATATGTATAAATTTTAAATGTGTTCTATAGTTGAGCATTTAAACTATCTTGCTAATTCTCTAATTTGCAGCAGGAGATTCCAATCTATCTGTACATTTTGAATTCAAAACTAAGGCTGATTTTTCCTCCCTAAAAGATTGGATTATTTGGAGAAAGAAATAAAAGATCAAAGAGTGAGAAAGAAGGATGAATTATCATACCTCAGCCCACATGCCTTCCAAAAGGAAAAAGTTTGTGGATCTCTTGGCATTTGGTGCCTTAGAGTTGATTACTGTGGGAGCAGAAGAGACTTTGGCCTTAATTTTGAATTTGTTGAATTGTTTCTGTAATCATCATAACATCTATTTAAATGTAGTTACTTCAGTATTTAATTACCTTTTCTTAAAAGAGGAGGGAAAAAAACCCTGTATTTTCCTGATGGACTAAAACGGCTCAGAATGGTATATTTAGGCAGTTTTGGAAACTCATTATTTACCTGAAGACCAAATATGATAAATCTGTACCAAGTGTCGTGTCAATCCACAACATGGGACTGTCACAATGTTATTGCAGACATGCATATTAAAAATTATGAAAAATTACTGCATACTAGCTGAATTTATAACTCAGCCATTTAAAAAACAGTAATAATAAAAATGAAATCCAGCATATGAATGAGGCCTTTTTGTGTAACAAGCAGAAAAATGCAAGTTAACCAAAAGCCAGAAAAGGTGTCTGGCTTAGATTTGCCTCTTCAAAGCACTTTGTGGAATACTATGGTATGTTGGTCCTTTTTTTATTTATTTTACCTTCTTTCACCCAAAAGGTTTACAGTTTGAAGAACAGTCATCTGAATGTAGACTTACCACGTTGGAGTATCATTCTGGGAAAATATCTGTAGCATTGCACTTAAGCACTGGTGGAACCATATACCTATTTAATCATACCAAAAATGAAGGCAGATGGAGCCATCCTGTGAAACACCAGAATTTGGAATATCTAGATAGAGAACTCTGAAAGATGAATCATAGTTGGGCATTTTGGAAAGATTTTAATCACTTGAAATTTTTAGTACTGGAAATATATTTCTAGAGCATACGTTGAGGTTTATAGCTATGCCATCTTATCATCTACATCCACATCTTCCTAGTAGAGACCCATTACTTGGGTTTATATATCTTTGAATTTTTCTGTCTCAGCCTCACAGCTATGCCTGAGCCTAATGTACAGACCTGCTTTGGGACTAGAATGATTCTTGTAGAGTATTCCTTAAGGGATTTTTTAGTTTCTATACTTTAAACAGATAAAAGGGGGGAAAATGTATTTTAAAAAATGTTTCTAAATCTGGGACCAAACAGCTCGTTTTTAAAATGTGAGGATTCCAAACCAGCCCTCTCCCCCATCTTCTGTTTAATGCTTCACTGATTAGCTTTGTTCCGTAGGCCTTATGGGCATAGTAAGACAGAGTAGAAGAAAACCATGGGCTAGCAAGCAGCTACTGTATCCCATTTTGGGTCCTGTTCACTGTGTTAGCTATTAAATTGAGTTGTACAATATTCAAAGGTTTAATACCTGTTTCTTCTAGATGATTTCTACGCAGTAACCCTCAAAATAGACTCTCAAAATCTTTCATCTCATCTTCTAGTCCCACAGAATGCAACTTCATACTTCAGAGGATGCCATTACTTCACAGGTCTACCACTAAAGCAGATTCCTAGTTTTACCAAATGTGCATTTAATCAGTTTTCAATTAGCCAAATGTAACTAGCCTATGCATGTTGGATCTCAGGATTACTCTGTCCTGTTACCCAGCAAGTTTCTGAGCTACCTCAGTATTTATAAATTTCATTTTAATATAGTCCTGAGCCTGTAATTTTGAAAGCAAATGTGCTAACAAATTTAACCCCAGGTTAAATTTGGGTTACCTATTGCTGCTTTCCATATTAACACGGTTATTATGATTGTCATATGACAGAACAACAATGTATACTGGCTCGCTACTGGCTACTAAGGAGTCAGGAATTGGATCCCAGGGACAGCAGATGGCACATTTTGCCATTGTAATCTCACATGGGTTGTTACTGCAGTTTTGGTGAACAGAGAGAATAAAGGTAGTAACCCTGTTTAAGTGGGAGAGGGAAGAACACTCTTGAGTCGTGTACTCATTTCTGAATATTTTATGTGAGGTAGACGGGGCAGCAAATTTAAAAAAAAAATCTACTAGGAAGCTTTAGTAGAATATTGTACCCACTAGCAGCCAATAAATAGCCTTAGCCCAGAAGGTGGTTGGAAAAGATGGTGAAGCACTCAATCAAGAAACACTCAAGAAGCACTCAATTTCTACTGATTACCTCTATGCAAGTCCACATCCTTTTTTAACTGATAACTGAGATTGAATCCTTGTAGGGCTACCATGATTTCAATCAATCAGACCTAACTACTAACTAGATAGCTCAAAGTTATGTAAAAGATGACTAATCTAAAAGATACCTAATTTGAGCATAATAGTACATAATTTATGCAAGCCAACTTATACTCAAAAAGACTTTTCTATATATTTTCAAAAGTGAACTTTTGTATTCCTAAAGTGGTTCAGATCCATAGTGCACAATAAGCTAAGGCTGTGATTGTTCAGCTGCCTTGTTAGGATTGTAGAAAAGGACCAGGATAGAGACTAATGTTTGTCAAAGCAGTCAACTAAATCTTTTAGAACAGATGAAGCTATTAATTCAATGATAAAGGATTCAAGGATAAGATTTTGTATTGAAGCTTTTTAGTTTTTGCCCAAACATCTAACCTTGTAGATCTTGGCATTTCAAGTTATCAGATCTTCTAAATATGTTTGTCTTCTAAGACTGTTTTGGTTTTTTTTGTTTTGTTTTTTTTTTGCTGGCAAAAGACAACATGGGTTTTGGGCTCAACAGTCTGCCCTTGCTAATATGTCCGTGACTTAATAATACAGTCTATGATCTTATGTAGTGACAAAGGGTTGTGCAACTTTTCAGGAAAGGTCATTAATGTGGTTACATATATAATACTTGAAGGAGCTATGATTTGTCAAAGTAGGTATTTTTATTGATGCATATCACAACAACCCCCTTCAACGTAGGTTTTCATGGGTTGCTGTGGCCAAAAATATTCAGACTGTATTATCTGAGGACTACTATATATGTAATATTGCCTGGGAAATTATGTGTAATAATCCTAACAGCTTTATTTGAAGGAAGATGCCTACTCATAGGGCCAACAGTGATAGGGAGGTTGGAAGAGAGGGAGGGACTTGTATGCCCTAGTTATGAAGTAATATGAATAGTAATAGTGCCAAGCATAGGGATATGAAAGGAACCCTTGTGATAATTCAAGGTTTAGATAGTTTATCACACTTTGTTTATGTTTATCAGCATCGATCTTAAAGGTTTCACTGTGCTGCTTATTGTATCCACTAACTATTCTAAGCTATCTCAATGATTACAAATTTCATTTAACATTAGCCTAAGCTTAATGTTATTTTTATCATATGATCACTCCTGTCTATGCCAATGTTCATGTTAATAGCAATAAAGTATACCATAACATGGGTCACTGGTGATCCCTAATCAACCATACTAAGTGGGAAATAGCTTACCCAGCCTTCCTTTTGTTCTCATGACCAAGTGAGGGGCATAGCATCTTCCTCTCTACCAAATACCTTTGCTTTTTTCCATATAGCGGGATAAGTTACCCATGGAAAAACAAACACCAACAACAAAACTATCCCTGTAATTACTGCAAAATGATCTTGGCCTAGGACTCCAAGAGAACCATAAATACCACAAGGTTCAAAGGACTTAGAGCTATTTAGCTCTAGGGAAGGGGAAAGATCTGAGTTGTTCTTACTAACTAGAATGGTACTGGAAATATCTCCTTTCCTTCAGGGATGTTATTTGTATTCTTTTTAACTAGATTTCACTTGTGCAGATGAAAGGGACTACTGTAAATAAGCTATATTATTTTCAGCATATAAACTAAAAGAGGGCAGAGAGCACTGTGCTAGGTATTAGAGATAACAAATTTAAATAAGATATAGCCCCTGCCTAAATGGAGTGTAAACTAATGGTAAAATTAATAGTAAAACTAATAAAATGAATGCAACCTTTCCATTATAGTGTGACCACATTTATTTTTCCTTTAAGAAGCAATGCTATGTAAAATAACTAGATCAGGCATCAGAACCAGCATTCTAGTCTGCTACTTATTCTCTCTATGACCTTGGATAAGTTATTTCATCTCCTATGTTTGCATGACATATAAAATAGGGAAAAAAGAATTACCTTAGATGATCTTAAAGGTAATGTTACTTTTAACATTTTAAATTTCTAGGTTTTCATTTTCCTTTCAATAAGTTAAGACTATAAACACATATACTCTGTTTGTCAGTTTACTAATAACACCAACTAGAGGCAGAGGCTAGATGGTGAAGGAGAACTCTTTCAACATTCCCCTCCAAACAACTTTAAAGTAAGCCATCATTTTGGCAGAGCTGGAAAAAAAAAATCAAAGTGAAACATTTTTCTAGACAAAGACAACTTTAGGAGGTTAGCAGGAGACATCTGTGATACTTGGTTAGGGACTGATCTGAAGCACACCTAGCAGCACAAGTGGGCCTTGGTGGTGGCAGTAGAAGCAACTTGGAAAGCCTGCAACCCAGAGTCAGTAAAGGGGTCAGGCAACTGGTGAGGAAGAGATTGGTCACAGGACCCTGTTGCATTAACCATATACATTACAGTTCCTGGGTGGAGAACTGGTGGACACTGGAGTACAGGGGCCACACCTCTGCCAGGATCATACCACCTTGGAAGCACTGAAAAGCTTACAGACCCTGCAAAGAAACTCTGAAAATAGCAGCTGAAAAACCTGAAGCTTGGGAAAGTGCCCCAACCCTTCTCTGGGAACAAAGCCTAACTTTAACATAAAGTTAAAAGTCAAGAAATAGGCTGGAAATATAAACAAACAACAATAAAAAAAAGGACTTGACCATAAAAAGTTACTACAGTGACAGGGAAAATCAAAACACATTAGGAAGACGTGAAAACAGCTACAAACAAACTGTTCAAAGGAAAAAAAAATGCAAACCAGACAGAAGGCCAAAAAGATTTCCTGGAAGGGCTAAAGTGAGAGATTAGTGTGGAAGAAGAAAAATTGAAAAGAAATGAGAGTGAAGCAAGAAAATTAAGAAAAGAGAATTAATAGTTTAATAAAACATGCACCTAAAAAATTCTGAAGAAAGTAACACCTTAAAAAAATTGAATCAGTCAAAGAAAAATTCACTGGAAAAAAAAAATCTTTAAAAAGTAATTGACCAGGGGCAGCTAGATGGCACAGTGGATAGAGCACCAGCCCTGGAGTCAGGAGGACTTGAGTTCAAATCAGGCCTCAGACACATGATACTCACTAGCTGTGTGACCCCCCAAAAAAAAGTAATTGGCCAAATGGAAAAAGAAGTACAAAAGTTCACTGAAGAAAATAATTCCTTAAAAATTAGAATTAGGCAAGTGAAAGGTAATGACTCTTTAAGACATCAAGAAACAATAAAGTCAAAAGAATGAAAAATTTGAAGAAAATCTGAAATATCTCATCGGAAAAACAATTAACCTGGATCAAGGAGGGATATTTAAAGAATTATTGGACTACCTAAAAGCCATGATCCAAAAAAGGAGCCTAAACATCATATTTCAAGAAATTATCATGGAAAACTGCCCTGACAGCTTAGAACCAGAAGGTAAAATAAAAACTGAAAGAACCATCAATCACTACCTGGTGATCCTAAAATGAAAATTCCTAGAAATATTATAGCGAAATTCCAAAATTCCCAGGACAAAAACAAAATGTTGCAAGCAGCCAGAAAGAAACTATTTGAAACCATAGACGCACAGTCACCATCATATATGTTGAAGGAGCAGACGGCTTAGAATATGATATTCTGGAAGCCAAAGAACTAGCACTACAACCAAGAATCACCTACTCAGCAAAACTAAGGTGGGGACAGGGTGGGAAATGGACATTTAATGAAATAGGGGGCTGTCAAGCATTTCTGATAAAAAGACCAGAGCTGAATAGAAAGTCTGACAAACACAAGAAAGAGAAGCACAGAAAGATAAATATGAAAGACTTAATAAGGGACTTAATATGGTTTATGTTGCTATGTGGGAAGATGATACATGTAACTCTTAAAAACTTTATCATTATTAGGGCAATTTCAAGAGGTCATGAGAGAAAACTGCTGAGCTCAGGCAATCAAAAGGGAATCGATGTGAGTTAATTATGTTGAGATGATCTCCAAAAAAATGAAGGTGCGAGAAAGGGATGCACAGTGGTAGGTGAGGGAAGGAAGAAGAATGGGGGAAATTATCTCACATAAAAGAGGCACACAAATACTCTAACTATACTCTCATCCAATTCGTTCAAAGAGAGAATAATACATATACACCCCATACTCAGTTGGGTGTGTCTGTCTTACCCAGTATGAGAGAGGATAATGAAAAGGAGGGCAGATTAAGAGAGGCAATGTTCAGAAGCAAAATAGACTTTTGAGGAGGAATATCTGAGGAGATGAGAAGAATAAACCAAAAACAGGAAGGAAGGAAGGAAATATACTGTAATTGTAACTGTGAATGTAAATGTGATGAACTCAATCATAAAGCAACAGAATGGATTAAAAACCAGAATCCAGAATAAAACCAGAATACATTGTTTACAAGAGACACACTTGAAACAGACACACAGAGGCAAAATAAGGGGCTGAAGCAAAATCAATTGTGCATAAGTTGAAGTAAAAATGCCACCATCATGATCAAAGCAATAGGCCTAATTAAAAGACAAAATCGGGGAAACTACATTTTCCTAAACAATACTAAACATATGCACCAAATGGCATAGCATCTAAATTCTTAAAGTAAAAGTTACTGGATGAAACAGACAGTAGAATTATGCTAGTGGGGGACCTCAATTTGCCCCTCCCAGAACTTTATAAATTTAACCATAAAATTTAAAAGAAGTTATGGAGATAGTTTTATATCATATCTAACATAAGACCTCTAGAGAAAAGTGAATGGGAATAAAGATGCTTGGCACCTTTACAAAAACTGATGATGTTATTAGAGCACAAAAACCTCACAAATAAAATGCAGAAAAGCAGAAATGTTAAATTTTCAGACCACAATGGAATAAAAAGGAGAGATTAAAAATTAATAGCAAACTAAATAACCTAATTCTAAAGAACAAGTGAGCCACAGAACAAATCACAGAAATAATTTAAAATTTCACTAAAGAAAATGACAATAATGAGACAACATACCAAAATTTATGGTATGCACTTACGGGAAAATTCACATCCAAATTTTTATCAAAAGTAAAAAAGAGAGAAGATAAAAACAAAAGTTAAAAAAGATCTGAGGGCATGAAAATTAAGCAAAAAAAAAAAACCTAGAAAAAGAACAAATTAAAAATCTCTAATTAAACACCAAATTGGAAATCCTGAAAAAGGAAAGCCTAATAAAATTGAAAGTAAGAGAAAAAAACAAAGCCACTGAATTAATAAAAACTAGGAACTGGTTTTGAGAAAAAACAATAAAATAGATAAACCACTGCTACCTATTCCATTCTCCAGATAGATGCTGAGATTCTCTGGCCAAAGCAGGGGAATATCTTGATTTATCTGAATGGTGTTTTAATCTTTCAAAAAAGAGAAGAACCAATGAGGAGAACCTCTATTCTGGACCTGATTCTTCACATGGAAGAAGTTACTGCTGGTGTAAAAATGATAGGAACATTGAGAGAATCTTAGAATTTGTGATAGCAAAGGGCAAGTCTCACATGCATCCTAGGTTTTTGGAAAGCAGATTTCAAACTTTTCACGGAAAGGATAAACAGGTATTTCATCCCATGGATTAAAATTTTACAAAGGAAGTTTCAAAAATAAAATCACCACAAAGCAATCATATTTCAAGAGGTCATGAGAGAAAACTGCTGAGATTAGAGAAAAGCTCAGAACTCAGAGGGTAAAGTATAAATTGAAAAGGATCCACTAGTCACCTCATGAAAGAAGTCCTAAAGAAAACTATATTATTCTTATGTTACAACCAAAATCCAGAGCTCCCAGATCAAAGAAAAAATATTGTAAGCAGCTAGAAAGAAAGAATTCCAATACCAAGGAAACACAGTCAGGATCTCAAAAAGATTTGGCAGCCATCAAAATAAAGGAGCAGAAAGCTTGAGGTACATGATATTCCAAGGTAAAGTATCTCAGCTTACAAGCAAGAATAACTTACTTGTAATATAATAACTAGCAAAATTGAATATAGGCATACCTCAAAGATAATGTGGGTTCATTTCCAGAGCACTTCGATAAAGCGAGTCACATGAAGTTTTTGCTTTCGTGGTGCACATAAAAGTTACTTTTATGTATTTAATCTATTAAGTGTGCAATAGTATTGAGTGTTTTTAAAATGTACATAATTAAAAATACTTTGTTACTAAAAAATACTAACTATCATCTGAGCCTTCAGTGAGTTGTAATCTTTTTGCTGATGGAGACTATTGCCTCAATGTTGATGGCTGATGATTTATCAGAGTGGTGGTTGCTAAGGTTGGGGTGGCTGTGGCAATTTCTTAAAATAAGACAACAATGAAGTTTGCCACATCAGCTGACTCTTCCTTTCACTTGAACACTTAGCAGCTTTATTACTTAGGGTTATTAATTGACCTATTATATCCCAGGGAATATGGAACCCCAAGGAGACGGAGGGAGACAGAATGGCCAGTCAGTGGAGCTGTCAGATATGTATCAACTAGTCAGCAGTCACAAAACATTTATTAAGTTAGCTGTCTTTTATGCACACAATTGGAGGTGCCTCAAAACAATTACAATAGTAACATCAAAGATCAGAGATCACCATGATAGATTTAACAATAATGAAAAATTGAAATATTTCAAGAATTACCAAAATGCGACACAGACATGCTATGAGCACGTGCTATTAGAAAAATGGATAGACTTGGATGGCATTGCTCTATGCAGGGTTGCCACAAACCTTCAACTTGTAAAATATGCAATATCTGTGAAGCACAATAAAGCAAAACACAATAAAATGAGGTATGC